CTGCAAAGCGGTCCCCGAGCCTCCGCTTGGTTTCCCCGATGTAGAGGTAGCCACACCGGGTACAGCGGATGCAGTATAGCCCTGCACCTTGTTGTCCGGATTCTCCAGCATCTGCAGTTCCTACTATCTCTTGTGTCATTTCCAGTTCTGTTCTGCATGGGTTTGTATGTGGGGTCTAATTCCACATGTTTGTTGATTGCATTATGGGTTGAAAACCAGGCCTCTAGGAATTCCCGTGCATGTCTGTGGTTGGCTTGAGCTAAGATAGTCACATTGTCCCAGTTAAATTGATGGCCTTCATTGTCTGAGTGCACTGAGATGAGAGAAAGTTTGTTGTGTCGTTTTGCCACTACCTGGTGTTTGTGTATCCTGATGGCTAGTTTCCTTCTAGTCTGGCCAATGTAATGTTTGTTGCAGTCATTGCAAGGTATTTTGTAAACACACTTTGGTCCTGCATGCCATGGGTATGGGACCTTTGGTCCTTGTGAATGCTTGTCGTAGTGTGATTGTGGTTTGTGTGCTACCATGATTCCTAGTGGTTGCAGGAGTCTCGTTGGCAGTTCTGATATGTTCTTGATTATAGGGCAGTGTGGCCAGTGTATTGGGACATACTGTTCCCCCTTGGCGTTGTCTATCTAGTAGGCACCTACGGATGATGTTGTTGGGATATCTTCGCAGGAACCTTATACAATCTGTAATCTTTAACACCTCTATAACAATATAACAACAATACAAAAAATCCAAATACAATCTTACCTTAAAGACACTAGGTACTTGAAGCTTAGGTGATGGAATTCCCAGGGCATAGTCAATAAGAACCATGGACAAGATAGTCAGGAAAACCGCAAAATCACTTATCATTGATCGTACCTGCCAGTAAATATTGAAAATTAATGGAACAGGGTAATACCTCTGTCAGAACAATAAACGCAAAAGTGTAATGTGTTCATTTACTGAGAATGCCAACTGTCATTCCTAGCTTTGTGTGAAATAGTGTACAAAGGCAGGGTGGGGAATTAATGTAGGCTACAGAATAGCTTTGCCAAAATGAAACTGGATCCGAAAGAACAAATATTTTATCCTAATAAATCATACAACAGTACAGCACAATGCAGATCCTTCGGCCCACGATGTTGTGCTGACCTATTATTCTACTTGAAGATCAAACTACCCTGCATACCCTACATTTCACTATCCTCCATGTGCCTATCCAAGAGTCGCTTGAATGTCCCTAATGTATCTGACTCCACTACCATTGCTGGCAGCACATTCCACGCACCCACCACTCTCTGTGTAAAGAACCTACCTCCGACATCTCCCCTATACTTTCCTCCAATCACCTTAAAATTATGCCCCCTCATAATAGTAATTTCCGCTCTGGGAAAAAGTCTTTGGCTATCTACTTTATCTATGCCTATCATCTTCTTGTACACCTCTATCAAGTCACCTCTCATCCTTCTTAACTCCAATGAAAAAAGCCCTAGCTCCTCAACCTTTCCTCATAAGACCTGCCCTCAATTCCAGGCAGCATCCTGGTAAATCTCCTATGCACCCTCTCCAAAGCTTCCACATCCTTCCTATAATGAGGCGACCAGAACTGAACACAATATTCCAAGTATGGTCTAACCAGGGTTTTATAGAGCTGCAGCATAACCTCGCGGCTCTTAAAGTCAATTCCCCTGCCAATGAAAGCCAACACACCATACGCCTTCTTTACAACCCTATCAACTTGGGTAGCAAGTTTGAGGGATCTATGGACATGGACCCCAAGATCTCTCTGTTCCTTCACACTGCCAAGAATCTTGCCATTAACCCTGTATTCTGCATTCAAATTCGATCTTCCAAAATGAATCACTTCACACTTTTCTGGGTTGAATTCCATCCGCCACTTCTTTGTCCAGCTCTGCATCCTGTCAATGTCTCATTGCAACCTACAACAGCCCTCCACACTATCCACAACTCCAGCAATCTTTGTGTCATTGGCAAACTGACTAACCCACCCTTTCACTTCCTCATCCAAGTCATTTATAAGGATCACAAAGAGCAAAGGTCCCAGAACGGATCCCTGTGGAACACCACTGGTCACCGAGCTCCAGGCTGAATACTTTCCATCTACTATCACTCTCTGTCTTCTATTGGACAGCCAATTCTGTATCCAGACAGCCAAATTTCCCTGAATCCCATGCCTCCTTACTTTCTGAATGAGCCTACCATGGGGAACCATATCAAATGCCTTGCTAAAATCCATATACACCACATCCACTGCTCAACCTTCATCAGTATGTTTTGTCACATCCTCAAAGAATTCAATAAGGCTTGTGAGGCGTGACCTGCCCCTCACAAAGCCATGCTGACTATTTCCCATCAAACTGTGCCTTTCCAAATAATCATAAATACTATCTCTAAGAATCCTCTCCAATAATTTGCCCACCACAGAAGTAAGACTGACTGGTCTGTAATTCCCAGGATTATCCCTATTCCCTATTCCCTTTCTTGAACACGGGAATAACACTTACCACCCTCCAATCATCTGGTACTACTCCAGTGGACAGTGAGGACGCAAAGATCATCGCCAAAGGTGCATCAATCTCTTCCGTCGCTTCCTGTAAATAACCTTGGGTATATCCCGTCTGGCCCAGGGGACTTATCTATCCTCATGTTTTTCAAAATTTCAACGCATCATCCTTCCTAACATCAATCTGTTTGAGCATATCAGCCTGTTTCACGCTGTCCTCACAAACATCAAGGTCCCTCTCACTGGTGAATACTGAAGCAAAGTATTCCTTAAGGACTAACCTTACCACCTCCGACTCCGTGCACAAGTTCTCTCCACTATCCCTGATTGGCCCCACCCTCACTCTGGCCATCCTCTTGTTCCTCCTATAAGTACAGAATGCCTTGGGGTTTTCCTTAATCATACCCCTTTCTAGCTCTTCTAAGTCCATTCTTCAGTTCCTTCCTGACTACCTTGTAGATCTCTAGAGCCCTGTCTGATTCTTGCTTCCTCAACCTGAAGTAAGCTTCTTTCTTCCTCTTGACTTGATGTTCCACATATCTTGTCATCCAAGGTTCCTTCACCTTACCATCCTTTCCTTGCCTCAGTGGGACAAACCTATCCAGCACTCATAGTAAGTGCTCCCTAAACAACCTCCACATTTCTGTCGTGCATTTCTGAGAACACCTGATCCCAATTTATGCTCCGCAATTCATAGAATCCCTACAGTGTGGAAACAGGCCCTTCAGCCCAACAAGTCCACACCGACCCACAGAGCATCCCACCAACACCCATTCCCCTATAACCCACCTAATCTACACCTCCCTGAACATTACAGACAATTTCCCATGGCCAATCCACCTAGCCTGCACATCTTTGGACTGTGGGAGGAAACCAGAGCACCCGGAGGAAACCCACGCAGACACGGGGAGAATGTGCAAACTCCACACAGACAGTCGCCCAAGGCTGGAATTGAACCCAGGTCCCTGGTGCTGTGAGGCAGCAGTGCTAACCACTGAGCCACCGTGCCGCCCATTTCTTGCCTAATAGCATGAGAATTCCCCCTCCCCCAATTAAATACTTACCCATACCATCTGCTCTTATCCCTCTCCATGACTATAGTAAAGTTCAGGGAGTTGTGATCACTATCACAGAAATGCTCTCCCACTGAGAGATCTGACACCTGGCCTGGTTCATTGTCTAGCACTAAATCCAATATGGCCTCCCCTCTAGTCGGCCTATCTACGTATTGAGTCAGAAATCCTTCCTGGACTCACTTGACAAAATCTGCTCCTTGCAAACTATTTGCACTTAGGAGGCTCCAGTCTATATTAGGGGAGTTGAAGTCACCCATGACAACAACCCTATTACTTCTGCATCTTTCCACAATCTGCCTCCCAATCTGTTTCCCAGTGTCTCTGTTGCTATTGGGGGGGTCGATAGAAAACTCCTAATAAAGTGACTGCTCCTTTCCTGTTTCTAACTTCTACCCATACTGACTCAGTAGACACACCCTCCTCAATGACCTCCCTTTCTGTAGCTGTGATACCATCCCTGATTAGCAATGCCACTCTCCCACCTCTTTTACCTCCCTCCCTATTTCTTTTGAAACATTATGACACTTATTGCATTAAAATAGACACACTTCAACCGGTCGCACTACTACAACTTTGCCCTATCAACTGTCTATCCTTCCTCAGACTCTCTGCATGCTGTATCTGCCTGCACACCGGCTACCCCATCCTCTGATCTGTAGCTCCTGTTCCCATCCCCTTGCCAAACTAGTTTAAAACCTCCCAAAGAGCTCTAGCAAACCTCCCGCCCAGGATACTGGTGCCCCTCTGGTTCAGGCGCAACCCCTCCTTCTGTACAGGTCCCACCTTCCCCAGAAGGTATCCCAATGATCCACATATCTGAGGCCCTCCCTCCTACACCAGCTCTGTAACCATGTGTTCAGCTGTACACCAGCTCTGTAGCCACGAGAGGTGTACCCCTCTCCCATTACAACTCCCCACACAGAGATTGTCTGTATTGAACGAAACCTTCTGATGCATGTCAGCAGCAGCAGGAGCAGATTCCTACATACAGTCGTACAGCTAAACATCAAAGGTGGAAAACTGGATCAAAGTTTAAAGCCGTACTATGCTACAAATGCAAACCTGCAAAACATTAGGAAAATTATTTTTTCAAAAAACAAAGGTGTAGAAACAGATTGCATGTACCTTTGTTGGAAAATAGTGACTTGTTTTAAATTGTTTGAGGAATCCAGACAGGGCAAATGTAGAAAAGAATAGTATAACAGACCAGAAGAGGACATCTGGGGTGTATGGTCCATGGTGTCCACACGAAGGACCAACAAATTCACCATGAAATGTCCTACAGTCCTGGATGTGAAAAGCAGCAAACAGATCATATTTAAAAACATCGCATTGTACTAGCTTTCTGGACAGCCGTGGTAATAGGCTTCTTCAGTGCATAGTATCCTCTATACACCATTGGATCAATCTTTATCATGCTATCATGCAACGGGAAAAGGATCAAATTGGCCAACCTTCCTTTAAGACATTTTGTCACATGCTGAGGCCACTGTCAGAGGTACACCTACATAATTCTTACCCACCTCACTGAGCAACCAGCCAGACATGACACTGACCAACAATTTATTTTTCCTAATACTAGGATTTAAATCATTGAGTTTTGCACACTGCCACATTCACAAGTTCAGTTTACAGTTTGTGTACATTGAGTTTAACTCATTTAAAAATATAAAAATATTAGTGTTCTATAAATATGATCATAAGATGTGGGATCAGAAGTAGACTATTCGATCCATCAAGACTGTTCTGCCATTCAATGAGATCATGGCTGATCTGATGATCTCAACTCCACTTTCCTGCTTTTTTCCCATAACCCTTGATTCCTTCCCTGGTTAAAACAACTGTCCATCTCACTCTTAAATATACTTCATGACCCAACCTCTACAGCCCTCTCAGGTAAAGAATTCCACTGATTCACTATCTTCAGAGAAGAAATTCCTCCCCATCTCCATCTTAAATGTACATATTCCAAATGTACTTGGATTACTTCATAAGGTATTTCAAAGTTTATTCTTTGGCATCTCATTCAGAGTTGCAAAGAACACAGCCACAGAATGAAATAAATTATCTTTAATGTGCCCTGGATTTCTGGCCCACAGGGTGGTAGTGATTTAGTATAATCTCAACCATTGATTAGTCTGGTCTACTGCTTACTTACTAGATTGCCTTTGATTTTTACTCTGTAGGGGGGGATAAATTGAGCCTGCCTAAGCCGTTCTACTCGAGACATGATAACTCAGAGCTTAGCAAGCAGCCATGATCTCTGACTCTTCCCTTCCTCAACATCTCTGTTTCTATTTCTGGGGATAGGCTGGCCACCAATATCCACTATAAACCCACTGACTCCCACAGTTATCTTGACTATACATCCTCACACCCTGCTTCCTGTAAATTCTCTATTCCATTCTTTCAGTTTCTCTGTCTCTGTCGCATCTTTTCTTATGATGCGACACTTTGATAGGGGACCTTTTGAAATGTCCACCTTCTTCCTCAATTGAGGATTCCCCAGCACTGTAATTGACAGGTCCTTCAGCTAGGTCTGGCCCATCTCCCGCACTTTTGTCCCTCAAACCCCCTCTTCCCTCCCACAATAGCAATAGGGACCCCTTTTCCTCACCTACCATCCCACCAGCATCCTTGTCCAAAGGATCATTAGCTGCCATTTCTGCTACTTCCAGCAAGATGCCACCATCAGACACATATCCCCCTCCCGTCCCTTGTCCGCCTTCTGCAGGGACTGTTCCCTCTGGGACATCCTGGTCCACCCTTCCTTCACTCCCAACACCCCCCCCCTTACAGCACCTTCCCCTGCACCCGCAGAAGGTGTAACACCTGCCCACTTATTTCCTCCCTCCTCACTATCCAAGGCCCAAACACACCTTCCAGGTGAAGCAGTGCTTTCCCTGTACTTTCACTCAATCTAGTCCAGTGCACTCACTTTTCACAATGTGGTCTCCTCCACATTGGGAAACGATGTGCACACCTACATTCTGTCCACAAAAATGACACTGTGAGCTTCCCGCTGCCTGCCACTTCAACATATCACCTTGTTCCCTGGCCAATATCTCTGTCTTGGGCTTGCTGCAGGGCTCCACTGAAGCTTAGCGCAAGCTGGAAAAACAGCACCTCATTTTCGCTTGGGAACCTGCAGCCTTTTGGACTTAATGTCGAGTTTAACAATTTTAGGGTTTGAGCGCCTTTTCTCCTGCTTTCCCTCACCCCCACATACCAGGCCTTGTCATCACATGGGCTGCTACCACACACTACCCATTGTCAGGTATTAATAGTCCCCATTAGCACCTATTAAATCCCCCAGACTCACCTTTAACTGCTCCTTTGTCTGTCCAATGGCTTTCTCTCTCTTTGGGCTCAATCTTCAAGTATCATTTACTTTCCCCCCTACCCCCACCCCATCTTCTGTATAAAAGCCCTTTTCCTAGCTACCATCAGTCCTGAAGTAGAGTCACTGGACCCGAAACATTAACTTCCCACAAATGCTGCCAGACCTGCTGAAATTTTCCAGCAATTTCTGTATATGTTACACAGATGTTAGTTTTACTTGAATGCTGGGAGATAAAATATTGGGCGAGAAGTATCTTAAACCAAACCATACCAGAAAGGGCCTTCAAGTAAAATTCACATGCAAATCCTGAGGCATAGCATGTCAGAATGGCAAATCAAATATGATTAATCAACATTACAGTATCCTAACTATAAGCCAAAATCATTATTAAATAAATGTTTTTCAGCGAGGAAATGAAATTAAATCTTTAAAAGATTTGAACAATTGGTACATGAATTTGTAAATGTCTAAATTAAGCTGTAAATTTCAGTATAACTTGCATGAAATACCAGCAGGTGGAAACCCTGAATAAAGAGAATAGCGAGAATCAAACGAAAATTAAAATTGGTGAGGATACACAAAATCTATTTTGCTTCATTAGTTACAAAAGCGATAGATATTTCAAAAAAGAGAAATCCTGAATTGGTTAAAGTGAGATGAGATAATATATGAAGGGAAATCAAAAGATAAATGAATTGAGCTGAAGGACTACAAAATGCCAGGACCTAATAGAATCCTGAAGGAAAGTGAGAAGAAAAAATAGAAACCTAAAAATGTATAATTGAGGGTTTTGTCAAGAGCAGGAGGACTCGAAGACGCGGTCAACCTAATACCCATTTCAAGAATAGCAAGGCCAAGCTAACCCAGGTAATTATCGTACAATCTTAAAAAACAAAGTTTTTCTTTTTTTCTCTTTCTTTTGCAACTTTGCCCTGAAAAGGACAGCCTAGTATATTTTCTGAAGGGTTCTTGTCCAATGCCAATCTGTATCAACACTTTAGTCTCCTGGGAAACCTGATAAGAAAGCACAATTACCTGGTCAAGTTGGATTAGTTAACATTTGACACCCTGTCTGTCTAATCTAACTGGCTTCTATAGAAAGGCTGCAAGGGGACTCTTGTGGTATGGTAGCAATGTCCTGACCGCTGAGCCAGGAGGCCTGGGTTCAAGTTCCATCTGCTTCAGAGGTGTGTTATAACATCTCTGAACAGGCTGATGAGAAAATATATAGAAAGGCAGCAGACTTTGTTCCAAACTTAGTACACACGAAGCAAAAGAAGAAAAACAAATGGTTGCAGAGATCTTGAGGCTTGTTCAGCTCATAACTTCCCCAAAATTATTACCGAATGAAGAATCAAAGTTACATTTTCTGATTTCATTTACAAATTCAACTCAACAAAACATTTTGCACAATTATTCATAGCAGTATTCTTTACAGTTTACTTATTTTAGTTTGTTATTTAGTTCTTACAAATATTTTTACCTTACCCAAAATAGCTACTACTCAGTATTCATTAAAATATTTCAAAAGAATACACTCCCTTCCTGTTGATTCTTTTTGCACAGATGTCAGAATATGTAGCTTATAAACATAATCCTCCATAGGCTTTATTACCAACA